GGGGGGTCACTACACCTGTCAAATCCGCGTCGGAGAATGTAATGGCAAGCTCACCCGTCCTGGCCCTTTTACTTGATGGCCCTACATCACCCTCGGCTACCTTCCTCGTAAAAGCTACCCTCTTGAGGTCGGACTCGAGTTCCCTGGACGTGGGACGATCCAGGGGACATATATGGATGACGTCTATGATGTTGTCCGGTTCCTCGGTCGGGGCAAGGGCTCGTCTTTCTTCTGGCCTGGGCTCTATGTACTCTTTCAAATGTCTGTCTCGGACCAAACTTTCCAAGAACGATTTGAACACCCTACACCTTTCGGTGCGATGCCCGAAATCCCAGTGATAGGAACACTTAACCTTTTGATCACGGGTAGAGGGGTCGCCCTTGCTTCCCATCTCGTCCTCAACCCTCGAGTACTTGTTGATCCGGGCCATCAGTCCCCCCATATCCGAGGGAGTCTTCTTGGTCAGGGATCGGTACAGGTCCGTGTCCCTCGCCAAGCCGAGCCGGAAAGATGCTGCTGCCATGACCTTCGAGCAGCCTTCTATCTCATTGACTTCTTCCCAGTATCGGATGACGTATTGGCGAAGAGTCTCGGATTCCCACCGTCTGAGGGTCAACAATGATCCAATGTCTTTGGGGCGCTTACTCCCCGTAATGAATCGAGCCAGGAATTGCCTAGTCAATTCCTTCCAGGACCCAATACTGTTTGGGGGAAACGTCTCGAACCATTTCATCGCAGAGTCCCCCAAGCTCATAGGGAACACCCGGCAGAGAAACCGTTGGTCCGAATGATAGAGGGACATCATCTGCTTATATTGTCNAGGGTCAACAATGATCCAATGTCTTTGGGGCGCTTACTCCCCGTAATGAATCGAGCCAGGAATTGCCTAGTCAATTCCTTCCAGGACCCAATACTGTTGGGAGGAAACGCTTCGAACCACTTCATCGCAGAGTCCCCCAAGCTCATAGGAAACACTCGGCAAAGAAACCGGTGGTCCGAATGATAGAGGGACATCATCTGCTTATATTGTCTGATATGGGCATCGGGATCNCATGCCTTGTTCAGATCTGTGAAGTCTACGCAGACACGCCATTTCCCCCCTTTCTTCTTTGCGCACACCGTATTAGATAGCCATTCTGGGAATTGTATCTCTCGAATTGCGTCGGCCTTCAGGAGTTTGTCGATTTCCTCGTTGACCGCGCGGGTGTGATGCGGGGCCATGCGTCGTGGCCTCTGTTTGACTGGCTTGTGCGACGGGTCAACATGCAGCCTGTGAGTGATTATCTAGGGGTCTACTCCTGTCATTTCCATTTCGTTCCAGGTGAACACGTCTGTATTTCCCCTTAGGAACTCGATCATCTCCTCCTGTTCAGCTGTAGGCATCGAGGTTCCAACTAGGAAATACCTCTCTTCTTCTCCTTCTATCAAGGGCACCTTCCGGAGGTCTTCCACTGACCGCTCAGTTGGGTCTATCCGGGGGTCATCCATTCCTGGACGCCCGGACTGTAATTGCTATTTTTCCATAATCTCTTCTGGCGCTCGCCCCTTCTCCTGGCTGGATGCCCCGGCTCGAACGGCTGAATAAAAACAATTTTTCGCGGACGCTTGGTCCCCCCGGATCTCCATGATACCTTCTGGCGTGGCGAATTTTAATTTCTGGTGAAAAGTGGAGTGCACTGCTCCCAACGCATGCAG